GAATGAACGAAGGGGTAAAGTTTTGGCCCAAAAAGTTTTTGGTAACTTTTTTGTTGGGTTGAGAAAGTGTTTTGTGCCAAAACACACACTCTATGTAAACCGAATGGGTTGGTGTGGATGTGATGGTAACCCTGGTGTGGGTAGAGTTTTTTTGCGGGTTAATTATAAACATGTAACTTTATATCAATTTTCAAATATCATTTTCATTTTACTTTTGAATTGAGTATTTATTTATAATCATAAAAATATGTTTGTTTTTCCTCTCAATTAATTAATTAATTATTTTGTAATGAATTTATTAAAAATTTAATTAAAATAATTATTCGCTTTCAACATTAATGATGTGTTAAACAAGTTGTTTTGGATGATGTAAATTAGCTGCTAATATAATATAATTATAAATGCATGTTTATTTAGGCAAAACTGCACTGATCATGGTGAGTTTGTAATTATTGGTTAATATCAAGTATTTCTGTGAGAAGTGGTCCCAAATGGTTGGGATCTCTTGTCAAAGAGCTCTTCCGCTGAAGATCTCCCCAAACGTACAAATCGTTTAATAAACTCAATGTTTTGGCAAATTTTATTTCACTCTCGGGTTGGTATCGGAGCGCCAGATATCGTCTCAATAAATACAAATATATTTTCTGTTGAAATCTATGACAAACAATAATTATTTATATACAGATTATGTGTAATTACCATGTCATATAATAAAACATATTGATTACTTACTTCACTACATCTCTATTCACTAGATTAGGCCGTTTGGGGTCAAAGAGTACGATTGCTGTTAACTATAATGTAAATATAAAGCATAAATGTAACTTTGATTCAACTAAACTGGTCGGGCTATGTTAAATAAATCAATTACCAAGTCAAAAATAATTGAGTCGGATTCGCAGTCGCGTTTTGCTTTTACCAGAAACTGTTTGCAAACGGTGTAGACATCCAATGGACTCTCTTTCAATATATCCAGTTTGACCCTCACTGAATTGTTGTTTTTCTGACCATGATCAATTAAATAAAAATCATTATTTACTAATACTATGATTATAAAAATTAATTTATATAATTTTTTTACCACAAATATATCCCAAAAGCCTAACTCGTAATCGTAGACCACCGCCGATCGGATCAAGATGATCTCGACGCAACTGTTCTTGATCAGTATTTGTTTATCATGTTCGTCGAGGGTCTGAAACGC